TCAGGCCATCGTATTCGAGGACAGTTAAACTCGCCTATAAGTAGAAAGTGTGGACGACTCATATGGGTCCGAAGATGGGGCAACCAATCCAAACAACAACTCAGGGGGCTGCGATAAACTGTGCCCACAAGTAGTTTTCCGCGCCTGAGGCGAATGGAGCATCATAGTAGCTCACACAAACCATCATCATTTCGGTAGGTGCTCACAAGTCTCCCACGCAGGGAAGACCGGATGTAAAGCAAGACACCACCGCGGGCATTCGTTAGTCTATCGCATCCGAAGTACCAGTAACCTTTGAGTTCAAGTTCCTGGGTGTATAACTCTGAATGCAGCCATGTCTCTGCGAGTCCCACTACGTCTGGTCGCTCAGACGCAACAATACAACAAAGCTCATCGCGCCTGTTCATAACACAGCAAACGTTTGTGAAGGCGACTCGCAGGCCGTAGCAGGAGCCCCCGGGCGTGCTTGAAGTGTGAGCAGCGTGTTTACCCTGATTCGCAGATTCCTGGAAACCAACCGAAAGTTTACGATATGAAGCTTTGTTTCCCACTCACCAGTACGTCTATTCAGCTCAATGATGACAGAGTTGAGCCGCTTTCTGTCTACTGGGTCCAGGTCTGGACGAACATGGATCTTCAAACCTTTCAGCCTACTTAGGCGGGACATGTTCAGTCTTGGACTGGCTTCGTCTACAAGTGATCCTCGTAGGCCGATTTTGTTGATCAACCTGCTTTCCAAGACGGATAATTTGCCTCACTTTTACCGAGTCCTCACCAGCGTCGAGGAGTCTGTCAAGTAGACTGTAAAAACTCGACATCGTGATCGTAGCGTACTTGCGGTGATGGATCACTGGACTCCGGCGCGTGGAAGATCACGAGGCTATAACGCTTCTGGTCGGACGAGGTTGACCTTGCAGGGCGAAGTATATTACCAGCCTCACGTGCTTTGGCTAGCTGTTGACTTACATAAGTTAAACGCCCAACATCCCTTCGTAATTTCGTTCTTTCCACTGGTCTTCAGCACTCAGACTTTCACGTGCTGGGACATCAGTGCCCGTTGGACACAACAAAGGTAAATAATTTATGCCAGGTGAAACTGGGCTTCACACAACGGTTGAAGTTCGTGCCGGTGAGTTTGCACGGGGAGAGGAGGAAGACTGAGCTGAAACCTGAAGGCTCTTCGGGCTAGGTTGTTGGGTCGAACACACGGAGCTGTTCGAAACGGAATGATGAAGCCTACACGTCGGCTTTACACTTCTTGGCTGTATCTTGTTTCGACAATTTTCACATAAAGTTTGAAAGAAATCGTGTCGGATTTCATGAAGACGATGAAACTGCTCAACTGATAATCCAATACATGAAATGTGGTATTTAACTTGGCACAAAACACACGTGAGGGCATTTGCACGGTATCCGAGTATCTTGGAAGAAGTACCACAGGGTGACTGCTTCGGCAGTGTAAATAATCCGAAAACAAGATGGCGGCCAATTGCTGGAGAAAATGGCGATAGCAAGATCGTCGAAACCAAGCGATGAAAACACAAGTATTTCTGGTCAGAAAAGTCAGATTCCGAAATGAAACTGAATTGCAGCTAAATTTCCACGAAATATTTCCAATGAACGAAGAAACCCAACACAAAATGATCTTGTCAACACAGCCAAAAATAACCGACCGCAGAAGCGAATGACTAACTGAGAAATCTGTTGTACGATGCGCAGGTTTGCCGCAGTGCTACTTATGGGATCTAGCGGTTTGACCCCGGTTTATCTTTACCACAAAGCCCCGAGAAGAATTGAACAGTAGCATCCAAACCCATATCCACCTTGCTCGATGCAGCAGATAGGGCGTCGTTTATTGTCCTCTGCGGCCGCCAGAGCATAAAAAACTGGCTTGAAGGAAAAGTCAATGTATTGCATAGGCAAGATACTGTCAGGTCGCTCAGACATGGACAGGAGAACGAGTATGATTCCCAATCAAAGCCCTTGGTTCAAAAACCTTACCGCAAGGCAGCGGGGTTTTGGCACTGGGCGTTTTATGGAGTAAAGAGACACCATCACTCCATCTCCCAACTTGGAGGGCCAGAAGATTGAGTTTGTCAAGCCTATAACCACTGAGCAATCTAGAATGAGTGGCTCTGAAGGTGCAAAAGCACAACCCAGCATAACCCAATGGATCGCTAAGGCACGCAAACCACCGTACCGGGTTAAGGTCCAGTCTCCTCGCGATGGGTCTAGGCGGAAGAGAGACCGATTGATCACCTGACGTCCAATGAGGTACCTTACCACAAACTTCATATGATGTGGTTCAGTCCATGGTTAGTAGTTGTTTTCGGACAGGTGCATCGACAGTTTTAGTTCCAAGCCAATTTCCATTTACGTATAATGGAAAGGAGAGTGAACGATCCCGTCTATTGGCGACCAGGAAGATAGTATGGCCGATGCTCCTATAGGTCCACCAAATTTAGTACGGACTACGCACACATCTTAGTAGGTGGTCAACAAAGTTCGGTGGAATAGAATTTCTGCTACCTCGAAAAGTCGGTGAACCTACTGGAATCTACATGAACCCATGATGGCACCGAGCACGATCCCAATCAGATGCAGTATCAGGCGAGCGGAAGATAAAGGTTAGGTGGGCCAGGAACTTCAGGAAACTAAGCTGAGTATGGACGCTAGTTTAGAAAGTTCACTCACAAGGAATTACAGTGCGGATACTGGAACCATGCAGAATCAGGGACTTGAAAGTAGGTTTTAGCGATTGAGACCCAAATGTCTGGACCACTGAACTACGGGGGAATGGATACTTGTTCCAAAATAAGTGTGCTTATGTTGGTGGGGGGGGCTACTAACAGCAATAAAGCCAAGTTCAACTGTTAGGGTTGGACATAGCCCACTTGGAGAACATACCACGCCTGACAAGAACCACCGCACTTAACAATTACTCAAGAACACCGTTAGATATACAAATAGACGCATTAAAGCGAAGAATGTCCTCGAGTTATTTTATAGAAGCACTGGAAGACTTTCGATTTTTGTGACGATGTCTCGAGGAGATGTACAGAATGGTCACATTAAACACATGAATTAGCATCCGGTTAGTCTCCCCCCGTTGCTATCCGAAATCATGGAGGCTATTCTAACACAAGCACACATAGATTGTCTGGAGAGATGCAATAGAACTGTGCGGAACAGTATGACTTTCACAAGAATCAGTCATACTATGATTCTACTGACAGTGTTCGGCCCGAAGCCGTAGGGAGCATAAACCTGACTTGTAATCTGACGGCGAGGGTTCGAGACTGAGTAGGGACCCAACGACTATCGCAGTATCCCTAGCCCACATGCGACTGTTGGTGGCTGCGCGGCGGCAAAGCGTCGGTACTACGTACAGGCTTACTGCTGGTGTCTTTCTTTCTACTGACAATCCTTGCAAGCCGGATTGAATCCATTGATATGTGAGTAGGAACTAAGACCATCTATCTGAAATTCCCAGTCAGTTGACTCCCCACAAGTTTCTGAGTCAAGGAACCAGGGATCAACTTCTGGGTTGGATAGATAACTCCATCCATCACTAGCATCCGAATGTGGAAACCCGTAGCACCATGTCTAACCCAAAGAAGTTTAATGTGGTGCGCCAGGAATCTCGGTACTTGAGCCCAAGCAATTGTTGGCTTTCATGAACGATCTAGTGATAGGGAAAATCAACTTCTTTACTCTTCGCTGATGAACTCCAAACTGGAGGGCTATAGAATTGACAGGCGATTAAACGGTGATGTTAACAGGGTTTACGAATGATGAACATGCTCCAGCTTAGGAAAACTAAGTGCGGTGGTAAGAACGCGCTATCATATCACTCTTGTGTATCGATTTAAAGAGCAGCTTTTACAGTGCGCTTCTCGTGAAAATTATCTCGGAATGAGAGTAGAGGAGGATATTGGATGCTCGAGACAGGCCGAAAGAGCAACAAGAAAGGTTAGGCAACACCTCGGCCTCATTCAGAGGGCATTGAGGCGACATGACCCTTCCAACTCTCTGAAAATGTTTATCACATGCATAAGGACTTATGTGGAACACGCCATCTAAGTCTGGTAGAATCACCTGAAAGTCCATAGTGGAGACCACGTATGGAGGAGAGCGTATCCCATTCCCCATACCAACTCAGAGTGAACACCCTAGGAGTGGGTAACGGAAGGGTATCGGGAAATGCGAGGTAGTCTCATAACGACACACCAAATTCCCGAAAAGCTCAGCCAAGTTCGAGCGCTGCCAAACTGAGAGACCACAAGTTAACTTTGACCACGCATTATACCCGGTTGGGATATCACGATGAAGTGTTTTTCCAAAGTACGCAACATCCGTGCGCACCTTATCGGCGTTAGAAAGCCACTTTACAATACACCAGCCCTTTCATATTACGTAACAACCGTCTTTATCGGAGGATGATGTAATGCAAACTAAGTGTGCTCGGTTGTTTTCCCCATAAAACGGGTAGTTAAACTTACCTGTTTACGTGAATGGTATGGTAGGTTCACTGGCACTCGCTCCCAGCCTCACTCTGATCGTCCTGCGGGATCATTTAAGCATTATTCTACCCATGATAACAGATCGTTTCCCTGTTTCAACTCTACTTGAAGTAACCAATTCTCTACACGTAGAGATTGGTGGGACGGATTTCGGATGTTTCGTCTAGTCGTCACACAACAGTTATGGGGTCCGCCGCCGCCGCCGTCACAGGTACCCCAACGGCTTACATCGCTACTCTTACTTGGAAAGATAGAGCGTTACATACCCGTGAGATGTGAGTAGGAAGCGCGTAGTTGATGAACCGCAATAGGACGAAGCGGCTTACCGCCACATCCTTCCGGATACATTTCGACTGTCAGTTAACTTGGTTGGGATGATCCTCAAGACAACTATTAATAGCCCTTGGTGTGGTGGGTTCTGGAGTCATAAAAACTATTAACCGATTGTGTGTGTGTGTGCACAGCGCATCAAATCTAACAACGATGTAAGGTGGTCGAGGTAAGCACGAGAATCGCTTTAGATGAATAAAAGTCGTGCGAAAAAGAATAACAATACTCTTGCTACAATCGCAAAGAAGGAGGCTCAAACTTTTTCAAAATTATCGGAATACAACATCTGATAAGAGTGAACGGGGAGGTGTAGGCAGCTGACGCTAACGGGAGGAAAATGGCAAATTGCACGAGCAAAGGCTGAAAGAGCCACACGACCACAAAGTCGATTTGGGCCGTCCCACGTGAAGCAGAGCAACAGAGGAGAGAAAGCGGAGATAATGAGTGCGGGGTGCTATCAGTGAGCACGCTTGAAAGAGAGGAGCAAAATATACACAGGTTGGGATTCGATAGGGAGAATGCTTGTAAATACAGGGACGAGGTAGATGAAAAAGGTTGTTGTAATATAATACAGAATGGACTGAAGGGAACAACTGTCTCCAGGATACCAAAAAGATCACTCTGAGGAAGACGCCAGATGGTGCTGGGAGGAGCACATGAGTGAAATCCATCACAGCATTCGATAAAACACAGTGAAACATTAGCTATCGAGGGGGGGATGCAGGCTTAGGCTCGTGAAGATCCGACAACTGTGCGTTGGCTACAAACTTCCCGCATTAGAGGACTTAATCCATCCAAGCTCAACACTTTGGCGAATTCAGTCATGCGAATTTCCAGAGTACGTAAATCGATGAAGGCAATGAGTAGACGCGCGTAAAGCTCCGTGGCGGATCGGAGATGCCTTGGACCAGCACGCCAGCGTAGATAGGTCCAGAGGAAGAACAAATACGATTGCCTTGCAGTCCCGACCGAAGACTGTAGCAGTTCATCCGTCAGAAGTGAATCGTCACTGAATAACTTGATCGCCAGGACAGAGACACGAAGAATATCGTCGGAGCCGATCAACTGATCCAAATGATCGAACGCGGCCAAAGTGTTTGCTTTGTACAGCTCGAATTCTTCGCGTAGTTCCGTAGTGTGAGTGTGGTCAGCGCGATTAAGTGAGGCTGTGGCGGAAAAGTTACAACCAAGCTTAAATTCAGACAGATCGAAGTGTGATTCATCGGCCAAACTGCAAGTGCTAGTTGACGAAGGAGTGACAACTTCGTCCAACATGGAAACGGTGACGGTGGTCAGCTGGCCATCAGCTCGCAGAACAGGATAGCGGAGTTTTCGTATGTCACGCTCGAAGAAAAACGAAGAGTAGAGTACGATGAGTCCATAGATATTCGTCTGAAAAAAGGGAAAAGAGAAGGACTCAAGAATCGGCAGGTCGCGGAAGGTAAATGGAACAGGGATACAGCGAAGTGTATGTTAAAGAGAGCGATACTGGCAGCAACAGTATGGCACTGTGTTACTAAGCATGAAAGTAGAGTCGGTTCAGCTTGAAGCATGGTGTCGAATTACACTGCCTTCATTATGGTGAACGAACTTAATTAAGAGAAGAAGCAGTGGGCGGTCGAACACTGTTCTAGATATTCTGATGCGTGAATTCGAAGAAGTTGCTGTGAGGCGGTAGATAGAAAAGATGGACGTTCAATTCATTCCCATGATAAGTCAACCAGAGCACTGGAGAGGGAACCTGAAGAGCAATTCGGCTGACCCGCATTTCCCTAATGGTTAATTGGGTTCTACAAACGTATATGGAGAACAGTCGTCGCAGTTTCCACCACCGGCGAGAATTGACAGGTTTTTTCACTTGCGACCCCGCATTGTTCTGGTAATTCGGTCTACTTGTGAGTAGTTAGAATTCAGTAAACTCTTTTGTCCCATTAACTCCGCTGCTTGGTAATTTTTCCACTCTCAATCCCCACCATTAGTTGAATTTCGTAGCTTTTCGATATAAGTTCTCGTGTTTGATTACGCTGCGAGTTGTTGCGCGTTTCCTCTTTTAATTCCCTATTTGGACTAGTGATGTCTCATTAACCAACGTTACCCTTTCATCGAGTTGCTTCACTAGTTGACAGTATAAGATCGTCAGCCTGAATTACTACCAGTTGATTGCCCACCTATCTCAACCCTTATTTATATTGTGTTTCGCCAGGTTTAACCTTGCGGCTACATTCATGTCGCCCCCTGCCCCCTCTCCCATAAAGAGACCGCAGCTGCCACATCTATTATGGTGGTCCAAAGAGAACTTTGAATATTCAGCCATACTGGTTTACCTATTAAGGACATAATATTCATTTTTCAAAAACCCTTCACTTATATCCTTACAGAAAGCTATACGTGTTTTTGTTCAAACCTTTGCATCATGAAACACGTTTTCACTTCGCATTATCGGCATAGCCTTGACTCCTCAAGGTCAAACAGGTCAGCCTTCACAGTGTGCCAATTAGCAAACTGCTAAGCTTTACCATTTTGCCACGCTGCCACGTGTCTTTCTGATTCTGCACTTTCCTATCACGATTACAAACCTATTCGTAAGTTGATTACTGTGTTCCAGGACGTGGTGGATTTTCGCCTGGTAAGCGGTCTCTCCGTAAAAAGCCACAAATGTCTGCTTAACAACACTGTGACGTGGCGGATGTGACTCGCCACTAAATAAAGTCACTGCCTCTTGCCACAGCGGAGGATCTGACCCATTTCACGAACGTCAACCACTTCAATGAATTCATCTGATCCCTTCCTATATTGGCGAATTCACCGAACAAACACAATTTCACAGTAATTGTAACAAATTCACTCAACACGATGATTTACACATGTACCCACATACATACACACATTTCTGTACCATTACTGATGTTACGCGTTTGTGTTACCATGATCATGCTTTTGAAGGCGTCTCGCATCACCGAAAACAATTTATTTTTTATTTATTTATTTAATTTGTATTACAGAATCACGGCAACAACACTTTACGTTTTAATCTCTGTGCACAGACCGTGCGTATAGTATAGGTTTATTAGACCTTAGTTTTTGCCCCATCTCGTACCACTACCTAATCTAGGCTTCGTATAGTCTTTACAGTGGTAGCTGGTCGTTTGAGAAAAGGTGACCAACTGGTTTTATGCAGGTAAGAGGCCAATCAGTCGCTGCTGATGCGGACTGGTCACGCGTGGACGAGACAAAGAGAGGAAGCAAGATCGGCTCAGCTTAGTAGGAACGAAGCGTAGCTTTGTCAAGAATACCAGCGGAGCGAATTGGCGGATAGAACAGCTGCAAACTGACGATGGTAAGGAGCATCGATAAGGCATCAGATGTATTTATCTTAAAAAACGTCATTCGCTATTAACTGCTCTCGTTCTGCAAATGCGCTCATAAGCTTCTGCGTACAGGCATACTAGTGTTAAGAATAGAGTTTTTGCAGCTTTTGAGGTGGCAAATATAAATTCCTCAAGAAATTTCCCCTTACACTTTTAAATAAATAAGTCAACTTGGCATAAGCCTCTAGTGATCTGGGAGTGTTGAAGACATAACGGCTATCCTCCCTCCCCGCTCGGTGGCATAAGCTGCCGGCTAGCAGTGCAAGCCACTAGCGGTTATGGATTCGATCCCCAGCAGGGACCGAGCAAATGCGCCTCACTGACCAGTCCCAATAGGATGAAAGTATCGTCTGGTGCTTTTCTCGATTGGTAGCTTACCTTTGCGACCTGTAATCCAACTGCGACGAACCAAAAATCAAAATTCTCCTAGGCATTAGTAATACAAATAAAAATTCTCAAACCGTCGGCCCTCAAAATTATCCAGGTGCGTATTGGGCAATACACTAGTTCAAGTTGAACTACTCATTACTTTCTCCAAAGCATAGTCCGGTCATGCAATAACCAAGTATTCATTGCAGACTATAAAACTGGTCCTCAGCTGTTGGAGGGTCAGTTTGCTGAAAATGGTATCGCTTTTTTCTCCGGACATGCACTAGTATACACGACAGAGAATCGTGGCACGTGGCATATCGACCGCAATACCACAGTCGGTTTACGTGGGATGACAACGATACAGAATGGTAGCGGTAGGTGGGGTTGATCGCCTCAGGCTGTCAGAAGCTCACTTTCAAGTCGGACAGTTGAGATGCAACTAAACGAGTACTTAACGGTTAAAAATAGTAAAGAACAGCTCCGGGTTAGTTGCACAGATGAATGAATGTATGAGAACGGGCCTGATAACACCTAAGGGATCGTGGAACTCACAGTACATAAGTAAGAGTAAAAAGGAGGAGAAAACTTTGTCGATACAATGTGTGCTTACGTTGGTTTCTAACTTTTAGATTTTTCTTCCTTATGTCGAGCAAATTGGCCCCCCATCTTTCATTCCTTGCTCCTACATTGTCACACCCTTTTCCCTTAATCAGAATGATGACGCATTGATGGTATTTGGAAACACAGGCACATCGATGGGTTAGATAAAATGAGATTTATTTTTGACTTTGTTCTTTCCTACTGTTTCCTACTCCGCTTTCATTTAGCTCGAAGACTTACTGATGTCCCACGAAAAACGTACGTACATAGGTGGATGGGATAAAATAGCCTTATCGTTGAACCTCTTGTAGTTTCTCATCCCACGCACCCAGCTAGATGAAAGAAGACTTATGGGTGCCTGCAAGAAGTGGACCTGCTGAAAGGTTGAACATATAATGCCACCACACTAAACCATTTAACTTACGTACATAATTTCATCTTCGCTCTGTTATTAAATCTCGCCATCTGTGCGAAGCAAGTCATCCGTAGTAACCGAGTTAAACAGTTCATAACGGAGAAACCTCTCCGCCTAGCTGTTTATCCTTGAAGTGTTATCTTGTTTATTCAGCTGCTCTCTAGTGTTATTGTCAGGTAGCAATAGTATAAATGTTTTCAATCATAATTTTACCTGCACATATTGTTTCTTCACTTCCCTAATCATTGATATAGTTCTCCCTTTTTGAAACACCGCCTTAACGAACACGGACGATTCTCGACTGTTGTCTATTCCGAAGCTTTGTTGGGATGAAATTAGTGGTGGAAGAATCAATGGAAAAGGAAATGTATTTGTCCTATTACAGTGGTCTTGTCATTTCAGCATGAAATTCCTCTGTACATTATGATCGGACCAGCTATACTGGGCCATGTCTCACCATATGGAAAATTATGTTTAGTCTAGTAGCTCCTGCTGACACACTGAGTGACCGCGAGTATTTTGTACCAAGCGCTGCTCTTTGGACAGGGAACCGTGGATACCACATGTCAGATAACGGGGCTATTGTTGAACAGATAATAACAGAAAGAATTCGATAGATTATATGGCTGTGTGCCTTACAACTCGCGACAAAACGGAGTGCATGGGTGTGTGTGTGTGATATCATTTGTAGTGTGTAGTAATATAAATCGAAATATAGTAGTGGAGAAGAAGCACCATAAACCACATATTTCGCAAGCAGGTAGGCCGATACTCAAGTATAAGCGAGGCGATCACCGCCGGTACTGAATACTGAGTAGAAAGAGCGAAAAGATAAAAATCTGTGGTGCTCCATCGTAGGTAGATCGGGCACATGCGCGGAATCACGTCGCTGATTCCTGAGCGGTGGCAGCGTATTGCAGCTGCGCTACATCTTATCCGGGTGCAATACGCTCCCCATACCTGTAGTCCGCAAAGTGGGCGTCATGGAATCTCTTAAATTCCAACACTGATAGAAAAATCATCACTAAGTTTGGTACACTAGACGATCCTCGTAACTCGTCCGCTGTAGTCTAAATCGGTGGCCTAATAATGTGGAGCAGATACACTTTGTCGGATTAAAAGCATCAGTAAAAAATGTAACGCCAACCCCTTTCTCGACTAGAGAGAAGCACATTGGCGTCCAACTGACAGGACGAGGCTCCCCGTAAAATCCACATGTGATGGAGTAAAGGCGAAGTCGTCAATCCGTCATATGACGAGGGGGCGAATGAGAAAAAGGTGTGCCGCTGGTCAATCTAGAAATTAGGAAATGGGGGTCAGGTGTTATTGCAAATTTCGGGTTGCTACCTGATGGAGACAACCTGAGCTAGATCTCGTGTAAACAGCAGTCTGTCTAAACTGCTTGCGATGTGGTATATCGGACTGGCAACTTACAGTTTGGAAGTCAGTGCATGAGGAAGAAGCGTAGCTTATGCACGCGCACACGGTATAATCCTAGCAACATCTGAGTTGAATTCCTCCACCAAACACTCTTATCGGTTCGAGAGTTTAAACACCTTGCGTTCGCCTAGCCCTCCTTGGACGTGCACTAGGGTCTTTCCCTAGAGAGACATTTGTCCGTCTCTATAGCACTTTAG